AAGAGAGAGGGGGAGGGGAGAGGCTAGGAGTCTGAAGTAGCCAAGCAATTTTTCTGGAAGCCATGGGCACAGAGGAGGGATCTGAAAGGAGAGTCATCTGGTTTGGAGGTGAGAGCTGGGAAGAATGCACCTGAGGTAGAAGAACATGCATCTTGCAGAGTCATCATGGGGAGTGTATGGGGAGTCATGGGAAAAATGGGTGTCCAGGTTTGGGGGGGGATGTCCTTGAAGGCCATGAACATCTGCCTCACTTCAGCAAATAACTCATAGAGAACTTGAGCTCTCTGCAAGCTACTTAGCAAGACACTACAAGAAATGCACCCATGACTAAAGGGCTCGAGGGATGTCCGCTCTTGAACATTCTTGGCAAGAAGGAGAGTTGAGACACGTAGACTAGGTGGATGAAGGTCAAGACTGACAAAGTGCTGGGGTGGGGTCCTTTAAGGGAGGGAGAGAATCCCTCTGGCTATGTGAATCCTGCAAAGGCTGCTGGAGAAGGTGGTTATAGACCCCAAGGATTGGAAAGATTTCAACAGGAGCAGCAAGGGGCTGGGAGGGCATCACATGTGGAGGAAACATGATGAGCCAAAGAAAGGGAGTAGGAAGGCACGAGGGCATGATAGGGAGCAGACAGCAGCCCAGTTTAGCTGAAATAATCCGAGAAATAACAGCAACTAATATTGAGCACTGCGTACCAGGAGCCACTGGGCGGAATAGCGAGAAAAAAAAAAGAGGGAGACAGAAAGAGGGGGGGATGTTTGCGAAGTGTGCTGCCATGTTGTAGAAGGGCTTGGATGCCAGGCAAGGAGCCTTGTGAGGGTATGTTAACAAGAGCAGAGGGGTTAGATCTGCCTGCTGAGTGGGCCCTGGGACAAGGAAAGGAACTATGGTAGGAAGGCAGCTTCTAAAAATCCCAGGTAGCAACAAGTGGTGAGGCCCGAGCTGTGCTTGCAGGAACAAGGGTCTGTGGTCAGAAGCTGGACCTTGCCATGGCTAAGCCCTCCTAGGCCACTGTGGACTCTTGCTTCCCATGTGGCATGGCTCTGCCTCAGTTTCTCCTTCTGTAGAATTGTGAGGCTCTTGGGGTTCCTAGGATAGAGGGAGGGAGGAGGGGTAGGAAGTCAGAGGGAAGCTGCATCCTGCCTTCCAGAGGTGACGCCTCCCACCACAGGAGAGTCTTGTGTTTCGGGTTGTGGACCTCTCCCCTTCCCAGAGCCAGCCGCTGTGTCTCCCACCCAGCAGACTGCCAGAGGCCACAGGGCTGATAGGCTCCGCCTGGAAGCACAGTGGGGAGGTCCTCAGCCCCTGACCCCTGAGTCTGACCTTCTGGTCCTGTTAAGGGGGGTGGGGGGCGCAGAGAGCACTGCTGGGCAGAGCTGGCCCAGAGCTGAGTTTATTAGCTGAGGGAGGGCTGGAGGCGGCTGCATTCCGACTCACAGACTGGAACATTTCTGTGATCCGCTGTAATGCACTGGGAGACACTGGGCACATTGCTGAAGTTTGACTCATAGGGACCGGGAGGGGGAAAGAAGGGGGGAGGGTTGTGGGGGGGAGAGGAATGGGAGGAAGAGAGGAAGAGGAGAGGAGGGAAGGAAATCCCTTGAGAAATTTCTTTAAAAAAAGAAAACTTTCAAAATCAGCACCACCCCCACCCCCTTTTTCTTTTAATAGGAACAGGCTGGACCCTTCTGTTCCCCTCAGCAGGCGTGGGGGGGGGCAGGGGGGTAGGGCTGGGCAGTGATTCAAATCAGTTCCTGGAACTTTCCTCAGGCAAGTCGTGTTGGTGAGGGGTATTGGGGGGGGACGGGGGTGTCCGTCTGGGATTCCTTGCCCGGGACTTGGGGCTCCACGAGTGTCCCACGTCCCCGTGTGCGGCTGTTGGCCGGTGGGCTGTACGTGCACGCACTTGCCAGCGCGGGGGTCCCTCCCAGAAGTGTGTCTGTATGAACGATTCTGCCCCTGTGTAAACAGGGCTGTGCGCTCGTGTACGCTGTGTGTGCAAGGCTGCGTGCGCTCAGGTATCGGGGTTTCCGGGAATTGTGCGCCGGTCGGCGCGCCGCGCCTCGGGCTGGGCGGCAGCGCGGCGGC